CTAGAGGTGGGTCTTTTCTTAAAATTTCACTTCGAGCTTGATTGAATTCTGGGTCGAGACCAACCAAGAAAATATGAACTCGAAGTCTAGTCATATGTTTGTGCAGCTTAATGATTACATCAGCATCATCTTCTTGTGTTTGAACACGAGCATCAATTTCCTGAAATATACCTATCAGTTCATTATAATATAAAGATAAGGGTCTACCATTTTGATGAGTAGTAAATGATTTCCGATTCAGTTCAAAGATTTGTGTTTCATTTGAGCCATCATAAAATGTCTTTGCAACTGCTTCCCATATTTCTTTGGCTGTTTGGAGACGAATGAATCGTTGCATCAAGAGCGGACTCATAGAGTCAATAAGCCAACTCTTAACCCGGTTGTTATCAATAAGCCATGTTTCTAATTGCTTGTCATCTACTGTTGGCTTCGGAGTTGTGCCGGTAAGAAATCCAAATTTGTTTCGAGCTCCAATACGCATCTCCATAAGTTGAGACCATAATGGATAATTTGTATCATCTAAGATGATTCCGGATGGGAAGGGAGTATTGTCTTGGACAATGATTCGAGGTTCATGAGGAATAATAGAAGAGGATGAGATATTTTCAGTCATGATTGCAGAAAAAAAAAATCAGTTTCTACATTCACAAATGCTCTGAAACCATGTAGAAATGATAATGGAGGAAAAATACTCTTCTATTTCTCATCTAGCTAATTTCAGCCTATATATACACGTACATAGCTTCCTACACTATAGCCTAAATCTAAGTAAATCAATTAAATAAGTAAATACAATATTTACATAATATAATCAATTATAAATAAGTAAACATAATATTTACATAATCAGTCAAATTTTTTTGGCAGCATAATTTCTTCCTAAGATTGCTCATGCCAACAATCAAATCTCATAGTAGTGTTCTAGAAACCTGTCAACCAAATAATAATAATGACTTTGATTTTCATTCCTAATAGCTAAACCCATGAACACCAAACACACCCTAACTTCTTTCTCAAGTAATGACAACTGCATACAAATTATATCTTCAACACGCCCTCAATTGTGCGGATCAAGCATTCGTGCGTAGTCTCTTGGATGCAAAAGGTGAAATCTCTTGCTCTCGCGGTCTCACACTTTGGCACTATAAGGATTATGGGCGTAATCTTCTTTTATCAAGTATAGTGGAGATCTGAACTCATAATTTTACAAATGAGATTGATTCTTATACCAAGTTCAAATATGTATTATGTTTTAAGTAAAAATCTAAACTGACATTTGAAGTACACATTTATATTTATATATCACATATATGCTCAACAATAAGAGGGGTCACTCATAAAAGAATGACACTATCTTCTTGTTTAGTCATATGTATTCCCAGCCCTCTCTCGAATATATAAGAATTTTTTACTTGTAATATTAGGCATTTTTATTAATCAATATTATAAAAAAAAATATTAGTATTTACTAAATTTGAAAATTTGTAGCATTATCATACATCACATAATTTGAGATAACAATTGAGAGGTGCACCATTGTAAAGCTATCGTTTGAATTGTGGGAATTGATGATTTATTAAACGGTGCGATATTAAATGAATATACATCATCATTACTCTCTAGTTAACTCTGCTACGCTAGCTCTCAGCTTGGAGTAGGGTGGTTAGTGACTGGATAATTGAATTAGTCATTAGACCCGATTCGAAGCACATTTGGACTGACCCGAAGCAATCAACACGGTCAATTAGTAACGGTCAAGAGTGAAGCAGGAAGAGATAGAACGGTTCTTAGAATTCAATGCATTTAGTAGGACACCGCCTCATTAAAGAGCATTTATAGAGAAGAGCGCACAACAATTACTGAAGAGTCTGACACTTGTAGAGAGTAGCCATTACTTATTAGCTAGAAGGCCATTTGTGTCCATTATTGTAACCGTTATCATTGTACAGTATCAAAGTTGAGCTCATATAACAAGTTAGGGGACAGACTCTGATTCTTGTACTTAGAACTTACTCTTAGCAATACAACTCCGTTCATTATTACTTTCTATAATTATTCAAGTAGCATATTCACCATTATTAACCCTTTTGTAAACTATACGCTAATAAATTACTAAATGATGTTTTTATATTGTTATACTATTAATCTATTATATCAATATTTTTGAAAACAAAAATCATACTCAAATATATACTCATACATCTCAGTTTACCACAAACATTATAGGAAAGGAGTATAATTATAGACAAAATAATTTATCATTTTTTTTGAAAGGAATAATTTCTCATTCTTAAACACGGCACCAATTAAAAATATGTGTGCATTACTTGATTTAATAACTAGCACGTATATGGCATAATTTTCTAAAAAATGAAAGTTGAAAGTGAATGTTATATTAGTACATATATCAGTTATAAAATTTGTAAAGAAATCATTATGTATTTATACCAGTATTACACGTCTTATTTCGTTATAAATAGAATAAATGTACATTTTGAATCATCCAAATACAATTTAAATTTTAAACTATAACCCCATAAAGAGTAATAACTAATTAATGATCTCTAGTCTCAACTCTCAAGCAACGTGTTGGCAACAAGTAATTGGGGATAAATTAATACCAATTATGGATTTTTTTTTTTTTTGAATGCTACTAGCTCTATTACATTGTAGTATCTGTTCATATACTTTCTCAACCTACTGAAACACAAAGAGCTAATAACGCCTCCACTGAGACTTGAACTCAGCACAATTAAGATATTAATTTTAAAGAATCTGTTTGATTTATTGCAAAATTATTTTTTCTTTTTATGGACTGACATAAAGTGGACTTCACTCCACGCAGATGACATTTCCAAGAATAGTAATAGAATTAACTTGTTTTTTGGACCACCTAAATAAATTAGTTTTTTTTGGAACCTCAAATAAATTAGTTGAATAACAATTTTTGAAAGCTACTGATTCTATTACATTGTAGTATTTGTGCACAAAGAGAACACCGCCTTTACTAAAATTTGATCTCATGACCTCTAAGCTACTAGTTCTATTACATTGTAGTATCTATTCATATACTTTCTCAACCTACTGAAACACAAAGAACCAATAACGCCTCCACTGAGGCTCGAACTCATAATCTTCCAAATAGAAGTCCAACCCGGATACCATTAGACCACATAGTCCTGGTAGTTGAATAACAATTTAATTCTTCACATATTGATTTTTTTTTTTTTTTTTTTAGTAAAGTTCACTACACTGAAAAAAATAGCAATATCTTATTTATTATAGAGGTCAAATAAGAACAAAAAGAAAAAGGAAAATAATAATAATAATAATAATAATAATAATAATAATAATAATAATAATAATGAAGGCCGAAAGGGCGTACAGAAGGATGATTGTTAAAACTTTTAGGTTTAGGCCCACCTGAGCTTCATCATATAAAAGCCATGGCCTTATCCCATGAGCCACCGACAATAATAATTGTCCCACTTTTATTCATTTTTCAACTCTTCTTTTTCTTTTCCTTTTTGAAGTGGCCATTTCTAATGGATTCAAAACTATGAGGTGACTTTGAGGAAATGTTTAGTCTTCATCTAGTTTAGATTTATATTCTCAATTATTTATAATGTAATTTTTTTTTACACAATATCTTGTATTTATATTATTGTAAATGAATTTTAATTTAATTCGAGAGAACTCTTTAATATAATGCACTCTTTACGCAAGTAACCTTATAGTTGTATTAACAGTTCACTTACCAATTGCTTCAAAATGTTGCACTATAAATTTAGTTCTTAATTTTTTTTTTAAGTCACAATTTTGATTGATCTTAAGAACTTACTTAACCCCCTGGTATTAGAGATTAAATTCGAGGAAATATGCATCACCAAAACTAATGGATAAAAGTTTAGTTTTTTTTTTTTTTTTTTTTTTTTTTTTTTTTTTTTTTTTAAATTTATATATACAAAAAGAGAGGCTTCTTAATTGATTGTGTTTTGGGTGGACACTTAATTTTCTTAATAAAATAATGTGCAATGATAGGAAAAATACAAATATGAAAATTACATTGTATTAATCTTGAAAAACATTGAAAGCAACTCCTCCTAATGCAAACATGTGACGCTAATGAATATGATTAATGTTTTGGAAGATTCTCTCTTAGTTTCTTTAATAGACACCAATCATATGATTGCTACAAAATTTCCTCTGGATCAGAACAATTAAGTATGTTTTGGAAGATTCCATGAACTTTCACATTTGGGGTAAAATCACTCACATGAAGCCTACAAATAATTGTAGGACAAAACTTAATTAAAAAAAAAAAAACCAGGTGATTGATGCTTGCCAACTGCAGTTGCAGTGATTTTTATATTAATGCTTGCCACTGTGGGATTGTCATATGAGAAATTTGTTTTTTGAATAAATAAAGAAAAATTGAACTTATAATTTATGAATTATAAGATAATATTAAATTTATTTTCTTTATCACTTCTAATTGATAAATTCTTAACATGATTGTCAATAAGATATAAAGACTGAGTTCGTTATTATCATATAATTCAAAAACCAAAAATACATATACATTTTTTCATTAATTTAACCTATGAGAGACTTAATAATTAAAACATAAAAGGTGATACTTGATTAAAATGTTGGTATGCAAATTCGATTGGTAAATGTGTATATGAGTAGAAATAGGAAGGGGCGGGCACATGGGCATGGGCCATGGGGGCTATTTTGTCACCAACTGCCAGACAGCTTACACGTACATTACGTAGGATATAATGAATTGAAGGATGACAATCTGTTAGGTAGCTTCGATCACATGAATGGATATCATTAATTCATTATTATATATGTGGTTCAATTTCAGGCACTGTGTATATTCTGTCACATGGGGGCTATTTTTTTTTTTTTTTTTTTTTTTTTTTTTTTTTTTTTAGTTCTCTTGTCACCTCAGTAAAAAAAAATAAAAAAATAGATGTAATAACACTAAAAAAGATTGATGGTACAAATTTATTGAATATTATTAAATTTTGCACTACAAATTTCATAAGCATTTTATGGCAGCACCCAATCTGTTTTTCAGGGCACCTGAATGACTAAGTAAAACACAAAGAATTGCCCTGCCATGTACCTATAATCTTCATATCATGGCAGAAACAAAAAAAAAAAAAAAAAAAAAAATTTATTCTGGAAGGCAAGAGGAGAGGCTGATGCAGCAGCTTGCTTTATCTTTGGTCCGGTCCTCTAAAAGAGATCAACTTTCTTCTTGAGCTGATCTTGTTTCCATTTGGGCAACTTATAGAAGGCTTCCTTATTCATTTCAAGAATGGCCTCAAAATCCTCATCGGAGAGATGAGCCTGAACAAAATCACAGTAACAATTGGAATCAAAGGAAACACAGATATAATTAGTTACAAAAAGTAAGTTCAGAGTTTAGGCGCAAACCTCTCTGTGCTTTAAGTCAATCCCGGCAGCAGGATTTTCAGATTTAGCCTTCACCTGATCATAAGTGTATACAGGCATACTTCCATCACTCCCACCGTGATATTCTTCACCGGCTTCTTCACTTGCAGCACCTTGTTCTGCTGCTCGTGCTTCAGAATCTTCACCCTCAGCTTCATCACCTGCAAAAATTTGCAACCATGTCACTCATACTATGCAAATCTTCGACTTAAAAAAGAAATAACAAATCTTCTGGTGATGTATTTTTACCTGCCTGCTTCTGTTCCTCAGTAAGAACAGAAGATAAAGCTGCTATAGCAGCTTTTCTTTGTGATCCCTGACCTATTGTTCTTGGTGAAGGAGGTTTTGTTGATGAAGAACTAAATGCAGAGTTCAAAGCAGCCAAGGCAGAAGCCCTTTGTGTTGGTCCATCCTGACCCCCACTGGATTTTCCCTGAATATTAAATAAAATGTTAGTAAGCTTTCATCTAACATCTATTTAATTGAGACTTCAAATAAGCAAATTGTATAGCAGAGTTTCTGTAGAAATGAAAATGAAGTCTAGAAATTACCTCTGTAGAATGGCCTATGCCAAGGAGTAGGAAAATCTTCTTTTGGAATGAGTTTCCATGTGCCTGGTTACAGAGTGTAGGTATTCATGAGACAATCATAGTGTAGATACATTAGCCTATGAATGTCAAATAAGAGATTTTGCAACATACATTAGATTTTGCAACATCCCAATAAGTAAAGAATGTAGTGAAGAAGCAAGGCTCATTTCCTTCTGTGACTCTATACAATGGAACTTTAGGAGATAATCCATCCAAAGATGCGGCCAAATCTATGTATTTCTGCAATGAAAACCAATGGCCATTGAACACAATATCGAATAGCAGCTATTATTCATCATAAGAAATGTCAGAAACCATATGTTACCTGCCCGATTTCAAAAGCGGTTTGCTTTTCATTGGCATCAGTCATCTGACCAAGCCAAACAAAGACTTCAGCATGTGTGTCTAGGAATAAGACGTCCTCAGTCAACAGATCATCTTGAGAAAAGTTGTACACCTCCTTAACCTAAACATATCATAGAACCCATGTTATAAAGCTATTAATTAATGCATGGAAATAATTCAAGAATGTTAGGCCCAAGTTCTAGAACATACCTCAAATTTGCCTGGAGGTTCATAGGACAGCAAAAAAGATTATTAGATAAAAATGTCAGAGGAAACACACCCTTCTTCAATGAAATACAAAAAAAAATAAATTCACAATGCACCTTTGTGGATGGAATATGTAAACAGGTGAGGATCACGGACAACAGCCTCAACAGTTGCTTTCTTGCTGGTGAAACTTTCTTTACCGCCGAGAGCAGACCAGAAAGCTGAGATTTCAGCTCCTTCCTTGGTGTGTTTCACAGGTGCCCCAGGCTGAATTTTTTGTGAAAGTAAACCAATTCAATTAGACATAACATGGAAGGAACTAGCAATCTTACCTTCAGAGTTCTTCAAAAGAATTCTTACCTTCAGAAATTCAGCAATCTTTGCAGCTAGCTGTTGCTGCTCATAGGTACTTTGGATTCCATGCCAAATGAACATTGAGGAAGATTGAAGAAGGAAACATTCATTAGAGTTGAGTGATGTTGCCACCTGGTAAATAAAAATAAAAACAAAATCACTAATAAGTTACATTAGAAAACAGTAACTTGTAACATAATGCCTAATAAAAAATGGTTGTGGATAAGCATACCGTATCAACTTGAACTACTTTATTGTTATGCACAGAAGTTCCAGATATCTGGATAAGAGCAAGTGACTCAGGAGTGTAAGTTTCATCCTTACCACCTTTGGCTTTGTATCCAGAGCTTAATCCACCCTGATAGAAGAATTTAAATTTGGTTAAGTAGTGCTTAGATTCCAAATCTAGCTGTGATTAATTGATTACATATGAGGGGAAGTACCTTAAGTAGCACCATGGGCTGGAAGATGGCAACAAATTGGGGTGGCTCTTTCCCTTGAAATATCCGACCCTAAATAATAACCGTGTTACACTCAGAAATCTGTTTTATAAATCATAAATCATATAAATAAAAGTCAAACTCAGTTATACCAAAACAGGTCTCCCCTTCAGTTGAGTGAACATTTTGGTAACCAATTCAGCAGCCATATTCTGGTCCTCCTGGATTCATAACATTTAACTTTCAAAAACTCAATTCATCCTCAATAACTTTGTATCTAATTCCATAGATTCAATTGTCAGGTCATGTTACCTCTACGCTATCCTTCCCAATCCACCAGCAGAGGTAATAATCGTCCTTCTTGTCATTAGAGTGGTAGGAGTACAGAACTATATAGCAATCTCCACTGTAGAATTTACCAAATTCTTCTTTGGGAACTGGAGTCTTTGCATTGTCATTAATTAACCAGACCTGATAATGGAAGCTCTTAGCATAGAGATAGAGAGATTGAAATAAAGATTTCGTAAGCAATATGAAACCAAAGAAGATAACACCACCTCTATCTTTCCACCTTCCTCAAGCAGAGGGGGGACTTCCTCCTTTACAGGTGTAGCACTTTTGGTTCCAGATTTGATGCCACCACCTTGTTGCTTCAGCAAAGCTACGATGATGAAGGAGTTAAATCATAATTCCTCACAGAAAAAAAAAAAAAAAAACTTAATAGTGGGCACATATACCTGCAACTTTTCCTCTTCCCTCCTCAGGAGGAGTTGCCGATGCAGATGGCCAAGAATCAAATTCACACTTAAATGAAATTGTCTCATGACCTTGAGCAAGGCGAGTAATTTTTGTTGCCTTGGGTCTTTTTTGTTTGACAAGGAATTCCTAAGGATATTTTTTAGCATGAAAGAATTAGAAACTCCATCAGATTAACACAGAGATACAAGGACTAACATTCTACCTCTGCAGTTTGACAGGCAGCTTTCCTCTCATCCAGTTGTGTAGCACGCCCAACCCAAACAAATACTTCAGAACCACAATCCAATAAATAGCACTTGGAATTTTCCAGATTTGATTTGGAAAGTTCACCATCTACTGGATTGACTTGACCATTGTCAATGCTGCAGAAATAGAAGAGAACATAAGTATCCTGTATCAGAAACTAAATGAACACCAAGCACTTGTAGATTCGGATAAGAATCTTGAAGATGCAAATTCAGAAAGAAGAAATACATCTTAACAAAAAAACCAAATAACCAAATGAGTAATATACCAAAAAAGTTTAGGAGGAGTTTTCTCGGGAATGATATCGTCATCACTAGTAACCTTCCTGCCCATTGGAGCAAACCCACCAAAAAGCTCCCAGAATTCACCAGAATCCGCTTCAGCTTGTAGATTCCCATCCTCTGTTAAGCAAAATAATGAAATTTCAGAACACAGTTGGAGATTTATGTGGCCACAATTTCATACATGAGAAGGGTAAAATATTGTATAAGATTTAGAATACTTGCCTACAATAGCAACATTACACACTCCACCATGATAAGTGTCCTTCAAAAACTGAATTACTTCTAATGCTTTGGCTCTCTCCTGAATATTGGAGTTTGCACCATTGAACTGATATATCTTATCTTTAGTATCCAGAACGAACACATCATCATGATTTAGTGAGGGCCGAGCAAATGGGACCTGCTTCATCCTGACAACTCTTTTTCCTTTACACACATATAAGCGTGTCTCAAATTCTTCCTCCTCTGGTTTCTTAAATCCAGATGCAACACCCCCTTCTAATGGCATAATGCATGGTTTAAAGTAGGATAGGAACCTATCAGATTCATGAGTTTGGATTTCTCTGTGCTGCACTCCTTTTCCTCCAAGAATTGTATCAAGCTCTACAGTTTTAATTGCAGCTGTTCCAGCTTCATCCTAATGTATTTGTCAAAATCTTAGAGGAAACATATATTTGATGAAAGTGTGACATAGATATAAAAAAAAATACAATGCAGTACCTGGCTAGTGTCCTTTCCAAGCCAAAAGTGTATATCAAACAAATAAGGGCCTCCCTTGCCAGAAGTTGTCTGCAAATACAGAGAGTTTTGAGTAGTAGATCTTAAACTTTCCCTTTAATTAACCATATCCATATTAAAGAACAGAGTTAGGCTGAAGAGAAATTATGAAATCAATAAGCAACAGGCACCTGCAAGACGACGTAAGAGTCGCCTGAGTAGAATTTCCCATAATCAGCTTTTGGCAAAGGAACTGGCTTGAAATTCTCAATTCTCCAAATCTCAATCCCACTACATTGAGTTAAGGACAACCCAAAAGTGAAAATATCTAAAAAGGCCAAATAATCAACCACATAGATAGATAATCTATGATGCATGAAATTTCCCGACCAAAAATCAACATATCAAGTTTTTGTGTAGAAAAGGATACGCTTTTTGTCCAGCTGCCTGGAATGCAGGTTCCAAAGCTTTCACGTTAACTGACATTGTCTAAATACTGAGGTTTTCCAAGTATTAGATATCTATACAAATCAACAACAAATATGATAAGGAAGCATGGAAATGGTAAGGGAAAATGGAAGAAAAGAAGAAGAAGACAAGACAACATTGATAATAAAGCATGAATTTAGGGAAGTATTAATTTATAGTTGAGACAATCATAAAGTTATATCATCATTGATGTTTGACATTTATGAGTTTTTTAGCAAATATGTTGTAAAATTCCGGGGATCAAAACATGAAAAAATCGAAAGAAAATAGCAGAATTTCGAAATGGATTAACCTTATGATACCAGAATTAGGCTCTTGGGATGAGGGAATAATTGAAAGCAGAGTTTCTTGTCCACACTTTTTTTTTTTTTTTTTGTGCAGAAACTTGTGAGTTTCTTTATGAGATGGAATGTATACGAGAAAACGGGGAGGGCAAAAAGAAATGGATACATATATATGAATTTGCAGTGCGTAGGGAAACACAATCTTATAGGAGAGAGAAAGAAGGGAAAGGGAAGACGACGATAACGGGGCGAGAGCTTCGGAGAGTGAGACTGTGTTTGTGTGTGTGAGAAAAAGTATTCCAATTCCCGGCGACGATCCGATCACTGTGGCAACGGCCTCGTTTATACAGGGTTGTTATAATAACAATAACAATAAAAACAACAACAACAACAACAACAATAATAATAATAATAATAATAATAATAATAATAATAATAATAATAATAATAATAATAATAATATTATTATTATTATTATTATTATTATTATTATTATTATTATTATTATTATTATTATTATTTGAGCATTCTATAAAATGTTTAATAAAATTTTATATATACACTTATTATTAATAAGGAATAAGGTTTAAATTGACCACTGAACGTAACTTGAAAATTCAATTAAATCACTGAACAAAAAAAAAAGTACAATTAGGCCACTGAACATTCCAAATGTATGCAATTTCACATAATAGTAGGTTACAATCAATTTTAGCAAGTTACTTGCTTACGTGGCAGCTGAGTTAACATTTTTAATAATTTTTAATAATATTTTTTAAAAAAAAAAATACCCTTCCCCCACCTCGTCTTCCTTCGTCACCGCTGGTGACGAAGGAAGGGGGTCCACCCCGTAGTTTTATTTATTTATTTTTTAAAATTTATTATTAAAATTTATTTAAAATTATTAAAAATGACAACTCAGCTGTCACGTAAGCAGGTAATCTTCTATCCGATGAAATTGCATACATTTAGAGTGTTCAGTGGCCTAATTACACTTTTTGAAGTGTTCAGTGCCTAATTGCACTCTTTTTTTCCATTCAGTGGATAAAATTGTTCTTACATCATTGTCAAACGTGCGCGACCTAATTACAAAGTTGTTGATAAGTAATACAATTACACATGTACTCTAAAACGATAAGATAATTTTTCAAAGAATTGACAATGTTACATCTCAGTGGCTCAAATTGAACAAGTTTACACATCATTCTTAGAATTTTATCAATGTATGAAAGCTTCTAAAAAAATTGTAAGTTAATTTTTATTATATCATTATAACAATATCTATTGTAACAATATATTTTGAAATATTTATTATCGTCATCTATTGACAGTAATTGTAGCAATTTTCATTGACAAACTCCCAAAACAAATTGTCTCAACAACGAAGGTAAATTAAAAAAAACCAATGACTTTAATGTTGTTGATGAAAAATATGTACGCCACTTTATTACTCTTATTAAATTAAATAAATTGGTAGCTACAACAAAAAATAAATGCATTTAATTAATTTAGAATTAGATGTCTATAATGTCATTATTCAAAAAATAAATTATTCATTATAAAAAAATTAAAAAGAGATATAATTTCATTAGTTATATTATATTTATTTTCTACAACCTTCAAAAAAATATTTATTTTCTACAATTCAGAGATTCCTTACCTTCAATTCAAATTAATTAATTATATTCACTACATTGCCCGTTGTCTTCTTTTTTACATTATCTTGTAATTAAATATCAAAGTTATAATACAACATATGTTATATATTTATTTACTAAGTATTTTATAAAAATATAATAAATATTAATATTTTGTTCAATACTTTCACATGATAATCTATGACATACATCTCACATCACATGAAACATATGTAGGGAAAAACTACCACTACCAAATATCAATATGCACTTGTAAGATAAAGAGTTCATAGTACAACTAAGATCTCAGTCATATGCACAACAAGGAAAATCTAAAACATCCAACACCATAATCTCATTGCATGATGATGCCCTCTATGCTACCACCAGTAACCCAATTGCACATGACATACTCCCAATAAAAAAAAAAAGAGAAGACATGACATGTACTGAAGATGAAGACAATAATAATGCTACCAAAAGAGAATTAAGAAGGTTTAGAGAAATTTAAACCAAAAATAGTATTTATTTAGACTATCGCTTTTAGACTATGACCCCATTTGGTAAATGGTTGTTAGCTGATTGTGTTAATTAGATGGTATAACTAGTTGATAACATTAGCTGTTGTAGAAAAGTGTTTGATAAATTAGATGTTAGCTGATAGCTGTTTGATATAATTTCTTTTCTAAAAAAACTAATTGAAAAAGTTGCTTGGAGTAGCTTTTTGAATTTTAGCATTTTGGAGTTACAAAAAACTAATTAATCAAACACTTATATTGATATTTTAACTAAATCAAACAATTAATAGTGGTCAAATAAGGCAAAATAGATCTATAGGCCAATTTTTTTTACCAAACAGGGCCTAAGTATTTAGACTAGCGTTATTACACATTTATTTTAGTGACAATTATAATCATTCCCTCATATATTATCTTGCATTTATATACTTTAAACAAATTCAACATTCAATTACCTATGCAAGAACATCTCCTATATAATATTACATTGATATACTTTGAAGTACTTGTTTAAAAATAATTTTTGGACATTATCTCATTCGCGCAATGCGCGTAAAAAAACTAGTATATTAAATAAAAGGAAGTGTTTGATAAATGATTGTTAGTTGATTGAGTTAGTGGATTTGACTAGTTGACAGAATTAGCTGATTGTAGAAAAGTGTTTGGTAAATTAGTTGTCAGCTGATAGCTAATTACATACAAAATGAATTTCTTAAAAAACTGATCGGAAAAGCTACTTTGAGCAGCTTTTTGAATTTTAGCATTTTAGAGCAATAAGTTGTTACAAAAAGCTAATTACTCAAACACTCGTATTGATTGTTTAACCAAGTCAAACAGTTAATAGTAATCAAATAAATTAAAATTAACTGATAGACTAACTATATTTTACCAAACAAGCCAAAGTATTTTAAAATATGAATAAGCTTTAGAGATCAGTAATCAGGTTAAGTTGCAACAACCAACAATTGTAACCAACTCAAAATGAGAAAACTTCAGCCAAAACCTTAGACATCAACTCAAAAGGTAAAGTCAATTTATTATACTATCATAAAATTTACGTTACATTAAATATGTTCCCAAACGTTAAAGGTAACAACTTGAGTCATTGTTACTATGAGTTTTTTGCACTTTTGATCCCACGACTATGGTGTTACTAATAATTTTGATTCACAACTTTTAAAATTTGTAGAATTGGTCCACGACTATGACTTTCTTAGCAAATTTGGTCCTTCCGGTGCATTTTTCGTTTAATTTTTGTCAAAAAAATTTACTCATTTTAACATGGGTAATATTGTCTTTTCCATCTCACAAACTAATGACATAAATAAATAAATAAATAATTACTTATTTAAACACAGTCAGTGGTACGGTGATTGAAATTAAAAGTCACCCAATTCCAATTCCACTTTCAGTTTCACCCGCCTCGCTAAACGTCAAAATTTTTTAGCTAAGCATGCAATTCCTCAATAAATTTTTAGTTTAAAGTTTCACAATACTGCAATTAAGCTCAAAGTCTGCAATTTTAGCTAAGCCTGTAATTTTACAATACTGCAATTTTAAATTGCTAAAGTCTAAGCCTAAAATTTGCAATTTGACAATATTGCAATTAAGTTCAAAGTCTGCAATTAGGCTAAAAATTATTGAGAAATTGCAAGTTTAGCTAAAAAAATTTGGCATTTAACCGAGGAGGGTGAAATTGAAAGTGGAGTTGGAATTGGGTGACTTTTAATTTCAATTACAGTACCACTGGCTGTGTTTAATTAATTATTTATTGAGTAAATACTCAAAATAGTCCCTAGCTAAATTCACAAATTGGTCCTCGACTTTCAATTTCAACCAATTAAGTCCTTAACTTTGTAATTTTGACACGATTTGGTCCTCCACCTATTTGACCGTTTGTTGACCGTGATCGACGATCTCCAGAAAAACCTTCAGCTCTCATCGGAGCACGTGGAGGCCTCCAAGATGACGTTGCACTGGTTCGGAAACACGTCGTCTTCTTCGCTTTGGTACGAACTCAACTACATTGAATCCAAAGGGAGGATGAAGAAAGACGACCGGATTTAGTAGATTGCTTCCGGCAGTGAATTCAAATGTAACAGTGCGGTCTGGAAATGCAACTAGAACCTTAAAAAACCGACGATGGACCATGAAATTACATATATATCCTCAAAAATCACAGTCAACAAACGGTCAAATAGACAGAGGACTAAATTGTGTTAAAATTACAAAGTTAAGGACTTAATTGGTTGAAATTAAAAGTTGAGGACCAATTTGTGAATTTAGCTATAGTCGAGGGACCATTTTGGGTATTTACTCTTATTTATTTATGTCATTAGTTTGTGAGATGGAAAAGACAATATTAACCATGTTAAAATGGGAAGTAAAATTTTCTAGCAAAAATTGAACAGAAAATGCACCGGAAGGACCAAATTTACTAAGAAAGTCATAGTCGTGGACCAATTCTACAAATTTTAAAAGCTGTGAATCAAAGTTGTTAGTGACACCATAGTCGTAGGATCAAAAGTGCAAAAAACTCTTGTTACTATTCACACTTGGTGAGCCAAATACAAAACCAATCAGCTTATCAACGGGTCGAAAAGCATACTAAAATAGCACCTTTTATTAGTTTTAAAATGTGATCAGAATTTTCAAGGGAAAATGGTCAAATAGGCCCTCAAACTATTGCTCAAAAGTCAATTAGGCACTCCAACTTTTTAAAGAAGCAATTACACCCATAAATAATGTATTTTGATGCAATGAAGCCCAAATACAAGCAAATGACCTGCTATCATAGGTCATTGCAGATCCGACCACTTTCCAGTATATTTTCAGGCAAAAAAGTGACCGACGACCGTTCACTATTTTGCCTGAAAATATGTCGGAAAGTGGCCGGATCTGCAATGACCTATGATAGCAGGTCATTTACCTGTATTTGGGCTTCATTGTATCAAAATGCATTGTTCATGGGTGTAATTGCTTCTTTACAAAGTTGGAGGGGTTAATTGACTTTTGAGCAATAGTTTGAGGGCCTATTTGACCATTTTTCCCAATTTTCAACCGTCTTAAATAATAGTTAAAGAAACAAAAACTTTAAATTTTTGATCACTTATTTTGGATGCTTTGGAATTTAACCCACTAACCCAATCAA